CACTTGGTTGCAAATAGTATGACAACTTGGTTGCTAGATACAACTTCTGTAAATCTGATTTACAGACAGCATCATTAGTGTGGAATAAGTTCTTGCGCAATTTTCACTTCCAAATAGGTTGTGATTGTGCAACTTAAGGCTTAGAGCAACTATACAGTTTGTTGTAAGTTATAAGTTTTGCTGGCATTGCTATAGAATACAAGATATACTCTTAAGGCGTAGCTTTTTAAGCTAAGTTCATAAGGGTTATCAAGTTTCTTGATCTTTGCTGGACTCAATGGCTTAACAAGGGTAAACCAAGCTCCTTATCCACATTAATTGCCTGCCAATGATACAGAGCTTATTATTGTATGTACAATTTCACTGATACCAACTTTTTTCATGTCAAGATAACAATAAATGTTAAGCAAGAAGATACTAAGGCATAAAGAAGATTACAAAGAATGTTTGGAATAGAAAAAAATTATTACTTGTATTGGGTTTGTCCTTTGCTTTACAATTTGTTTTATTGTAATAATAAATAGATCAGTTTTTTTAAACAATAGTTTTACAAAGCAAGTGAATTGTAAATATTACTCTGCATGTCATATTTAAGATATAATGAAATAAAAATGTGTCACGATCACGGAATAATTGATATCTATACCCAAAAGTTAAAATTTTATGTGATCCACACATTGTATTTTAAAAAACCCACCACCATTCAATTCAGCTTTAAAAAGGGAGTCTATTAATCTAAAAAAAAATTTGTCTCAAATTTTCTTTTTCATTGATTTTTAAATTTGAAAGTTATGCTCATAAGTGCAACAATAATTTTTGTGTTACAATACAATATTTTGAATCTCGACCAAATTTGGTAATGATTTTCTTTTAATGTAATATGTTCGTTAAACTTTTTTGTTGTAAAGATCTTTTATTTATTAATAAAAAAAAGGAAATAATTAAGTCAAATAAATCAAATGTATCTTGTAGAAAATATTTTATGAAAAAAAAAGTTGTTACACGAAATTTACTTGGTCTCAATTTCTTAAGTATATAACAAAATTCGGAATTTTCAAAATGCTAAGGCTCAGCCAATTTTCAGTTTTAAAAAAAACCAGACGATAAGTTTTGAAGCTTGAGTCATGAACAATAAAACTTATCGGTTAAATTTTTTAAAACGATATAATTTTTTTTGTTTTAGTATTTTGAAGTTGACCAATTGTTACCATAAGCAATTAATGATTATAGATGATCTGTACCGTAATAATAAAACAGATTCCACGCGATCGACACGTCTGGCCCACTTCATCAAGCAATCTTGTAGCTCTGCTTTATTTCTTATATATAGTCATCCACCTTTCTGATTCTCTTTTATTACAACAATAACACCTTCTCCAACTTAAAAATTCCAATGGAATATTTCTTGAAATAGAATTGATATCACTTAATCAAATTTATAAAATGAATCAAGAATTTCCATATTTCCTCGGCATTAAGCACTTTACATACTAAACGGGGAAACAAAACCAGACAAAGTGAACATGACACATTTTTAAATGCCACAATTGCAGAATTGCATTATCAATTTAACGTGATTGTGTCTCTTCCAAATAATTAATTTTTGTATGCTTTTTAACTAAGTAAATAGTCTGATTTTTCATCAGTTATATATAGATTCATTCATAATTAACTTTGGTCAGAAACTTATTATATATTAACTAGAATGGCTATTTTTGTTTGATATAACCACCAACTGTCATAAGGATCAATCAAAATATTTACATTGACTATAATAACAATTGAAAAAATTTCTATTAATGCGATTTCTAGCATTTAATTTTAAGATGAATGAATTTATTGTATTGTTTTACAATTATTAAGGCACGCCTAATTTATTTTGTATTTTATAATAAAAATAGTAAAAAATCACTTTTTAACTAAATATTTATTTTAAGATAGATGATTCTTTATTATTAACAGAAAAGCAAATAAACTTGACCTTCTTTAGTTATATTCCATTGAAGTCAGTATTTTTTTTTCTTTTTCAATTACACTATTAATTGTCAATGCTATTTATATCTCGGTTCATATAATTTTTAGATTTTATGATGTGATGTGTAATGACATGCTATTTTTTAGCAAATCTCAAGATCCAATGAAAGTGAAAATTAATGTTGATTTAGCAAAAAAAAAAATAACAGATGTGTATAAATAAATCGCAAGGGATGCTGGAAAAGAACGGATATTCTGCAAAATAATGTAAAAAAAAAGGACAAGAACAGTCATGGCGTAGTAAAGGCGCAGAAACCCGTCCCCTGTCCTTTTCTATTATTCGCGGGAAAAAATGAAAAGGACAGGTGAAAGGTGTTTGTGATAAATATAATTTTTAGGAAACAGGCTGCAAAATTGGACTATTATAATTCCCATCATCTCTATTTATTCATCTAAAGTCTTGATCTTTATTTTTTTATTATACAATTGAGGCTAAACTCATGTAAAAATAAAATAATGAAGAATACAAATCATAATAGATAATAAATAAGCTAATTAAAATATATAATATAATCGGATACATGAAAAGGACAGGGGACGGACAGGTGTGGTTTGAACCGTCCCCCACCCTTTTTTATTGTGCATTATTATATTTATTATACAATATTAATGCCCGTCCTTTTTGCAGAGCACCTGTACCATTGCCCATCCTTTTCTAGTGTGCGTTTGAATACAAAATTCTGATTGGCTAATTTGAATTTCACGCAGATTCCAAATTAAATTCAAACGTGTTACTAAAACACGTAAAAAAACATGGATAAAATAATTATTGAATGTTCTTCAAAAAAAGAATTCAACCAACTTGGAATATATCTTGATGAAGTTGACATCAACGAGGTAATAATATAAACACACATAAACATTATATTTAATATTTATTTCCAATGATCGGGTTCATAAATTTTATAGATATTGAACTTAGTAAACACTCTGCTAAATGACAAATAATTTTTTTGTAAAAGCGATGAATATGTATGTATGTTGCTGCTATTTTTAAATGTATCTATTGTCAAAAATTTTTTTTGCTAATTAGAAATTCATCCAATCCTATGATGTTTTGATTAAATTTAATTACAAAGCGTCAGTTATTGATGGTTATTTAGAAAACTATGAATTACGAGAATTGAGAAATAAAAGACATGCTATAATTATCAAAGAAATTATTAAATGGTAATAATTAATTCATTGAACAATAAATAAAAATCATTGAAATTTTCTAATATTAAACAAATTTATAGGTTGTCAGGAAAGATGATGAAAATTCTCCATTGTTAGAAAGTACATTAAATGACTTGATGTCAATGTACATTAAAGAGGTTTAGAATTAATAAATTCACTATTTATTTTTATTTTATATCTTGTGTTTCCTCTATTAATTAATTAATTAATCTTACTAAAAAAGATATTACTTAGTTCGCTCGATTTTCCGATCACAGTACAAATGCTTGTAGAATGCATCAATTGCATAATTCAAGCTATAGGAAGTTGTAGACCATTATCCAAAAAATTATTTGTATTTTTGCCAAATTTGATGTATATTTTAGAGTTTTGGACTGAAGTGTTGGTTCTTCCATCTGGTGAATCAATGACAATTTAGAATTATAAATATTATCTAATAAATAAAATATGTTGCTCTATATGGAACCAAAAAATCATTTTAAGCTTAACTGGTGAATTAAAAGATATTCAAATGTTAGACGATGGGGTAAACATTAATATATTAATCAATTAATTGTAATAATTATAATAACAATTATGAATAATTTTATATATATCTTTCTTTTATATACCTAAATAAATATACAAAGTTGGAATTGGTGATTAACAAAATTCTGAGGCGGGATTTTTTCTATATTAATTAATTATTTATATTTTTTAATAATATTTTATTTGTTTTAATTTTTTAGACAATTTGATTCATCATTAATTTCTCAATTGTTTTTATTATCAAGAAAGGTCAATAGGTTGATATTGATGCACTTCTTTCTTGGAAAGTTTTTTAACAATTAAAATTTCATTATTATCTATCTAACCACTAGGGACATAAATATCTTATATTAAAAGGTTTATCTGAACATTTTAGTGCTTTAGACGAGAAAATTAAAGAAAATCATAATCAAAAGTTAGTTTTTTTTTTAATTTTGGTATGTTTATATTTTATATAAAATAAATAATATAATACTTTTATTATATGTGACAGTGGTGAAAATCAAAATAATTCTGTGGATTCCATATCATATACACAACTTAATATTATGGAAGAAACCATCATTATTCATATTAACTTTGTTATAACACAAGATCAAGTATAATTAATAATTATTTAAAATTCTGCTCAAGCTAAAATAAAAATATAATAATAATGTTATTATTATTATTATCGTTGTATTGTCATATAGGAATTAGGTAATGAATCTCTTAGATATATGAAATCTAGTAAAGCATCACTTTTGACTCCATTCAATCTTTACTGCTTATTATCAATGGCAAGAATTCATAGATTTCAAGATTCAATAAGTAATAATATTAGAAGTAAACTAATTAAATAAACATCACAAAAAGAGCAAACTTTAATTTGTTTTTTTCACAAGGCTTTCAATTATCTAAAGTCACCTATAATGAGTAACTTTGAAATATTTATTTTATCTATTTAATTAATTTAATTTTGTGTTCATTAATTAAATAACAATTATAATAAATTTTAGGATTTGATGAATCTCAACTTTCAGAATGCACAAATAAGTTGGATTTATTGGCTGAAAAATTTGCTTATTCAGGAATGATTGGGTTTAAAATTAATGAAGATACTGATTATAAAATGGTAACTGATGTGGGCATGCAAAATAACATGTATGCTTCTTTACTACTTGGATGTTATGGGGTAATAATAATATTACTATTTAAATATATTATCTTGTTTCAATAATTAAATTAAGACTGATTTTTATTTTTTTAATATATTCAGGCATCAATTGAATATTTATTTTTTTTTTCCATGTTAAAAAAAACAACGATACTTCAAATTGGATATTAAGATTATTAAATAAATATTTGAAGCTTTTTATAATCCTAAACAGAAAATCTATAAATGCTAGAGGTATATATATTTTAAAATAATTATTATTTATTGGTCCATTGACAATTGATAGGTTAATCAAGTATTTACATTATTAGGTCGAAAAATAGTAGCCTCAGTCACAGAATATTCCATTCTAAGTTTTAAATGTATTGTTGAACTTTTTCAATTCACGTTTAATACTTTAGATTGCCAAGTTTCTAATCATGCTGGAGCAATTTTAAGATCAAATTCAGGTTTTGTAAATATATAATAACTGCTTTTACACATAATAAAACATCTCAGGTAATTATTATTATTATTGAAAAATTATTTAATTTAATGATGATAATTTTTTTTTAACAAAAAACAGATTACATCAAAATTTGATCCAGAAGATCAATCAACATTAAAATACTGCATATCATTGATTCAAGTATTCATGAATGAATTTATTAAAACAACAAAGCAGATATCAATTATTTACAAATCGATAATAAAGTATTTCTAAAAAATTTTATTTTGTGATTTTAATTCATTATTTATGAAAAATAAAAAACCAAAAACTTGACATCTATTTTTGTGTATATGCATAGAATTAGAATCAATCTATACTTGCAACAGCAATTGAAAGTTTTACATTATTATGTAAAATAATATTAGAATGTTGGTCAGAGAGATTGATAGATTTCTTGGAAATGTCTTATCCATCTGAAATATCAAAATGAAAAAAGCCTAACAATCTGGACGATTGGTTAGATTTATATATTAGAAAGTTTGAAGTAATAACAATATATATAACTTTAATTAATATTTTTAAATAATTAATAATATATAATTTACTAATTAATTTGAATGAATAGTCTTTAGTAATAACGTCATTAAGTTAACGAACACCATTAATTAAAGAAGAATCAGAATTATGTAAAACAATAGCATTACTATCGTAATGTTTTATGTTTAACTCCAATGAGAGTCAATCTAAAGGACATCGAGAGCAATAGATCACATGGCTTAGAATTTTATGTAAAGAACGTGTAATTGATAATGTTTCTTTAACAAAGATAATTGTTAATATGTTGGTCAAACTGGAAAGGGAAATCTCAGATTTTGATATGGTTCCAGAGTTTGGACATGATATATTATCTGCTCTGGGAAGTTGTGATACTGGCGATATTGATTTAAAGTTAGATGAATCACAAACACCAATTTTTGCTATTGTTAATTTAAGGATTAGTAATATTATTTGTGTTATATTGCTTGAATTTATAGAACAAACCTATGATGAAATTGAATGGCTATTAATCAGAATGAGATTAGTCATTAGTAAAAAAGGTAATTAATTGATTAAAAAAATTTTATACTAGGATTGTTAAATAATCATTAAGATATTGATTAATGTTTTTTTCAAGGATATAATGATGAAGAACTAATTGATCTCGGAGAATTTGAAATTTCAATTTGTAAAAAACTGGTCATCCTGATTAATACTTTGATATATCTGGAACAAGTTTACTTCAACCAACCTCGTCTGAAATATTAATTAAATGTTTACAAATCATATAAAGTTTTGCAATCTTTAATTAAATATGTAAATAATCAAAAAATTATTTATTTATTTTTATTATCAATTATTTGAAAATGTTGATTTTTTTTTAGAAAATTGCAGAAGCGGGAGAGATAAGTAACGTTTGTATACTTTTATTGTTTTTGGAAATGCAGTTTTGAATAGAAAAGAAAGTTCAAAAATCCCAAAGGTCTTTATTTATAATAACAATAGCCATAATTATCATTTTATAACAATTACAATTACAATGGTTTTTTAAAAAAAAATTTTAATAATTAGGCTCAAATTCCAAGAGAATCTAAAAAGGTGTCTAATTTGATTTCATAATCGAACAATTTGACCATTATTTAATACAATTATCAAAAAATTATAAAATAATGATAATGAAGATAGTAGTTATTATTTTAATTTTAAAATAACATATTTATTTTATTCAACTAGAAGGCCAACTTAATCCAATATATTAGACGGTCAATTCTCGAGATTTTTTAAAATTCAAATAACAAAGATTGATGAATTTGAAAATAGAATTGATAATAAAGATAAAAAAACAAAGAGTAATAATTGAAAATAATGCCTTTGACATTTAGGAAAATAGATATATATTGATATTATTAAATCTAATATATTTTTTTTTAATGCAGAAGGCCAAAAAAAAATAATCAAGACTTGTATGACGAGACTGGAGTGAATGATGGTGAGGTAGGAGGCGAGAATATTATTATCAGATTTTAAAACTTTGGTTCATTTTAAAAAATTATCCTTTACTGAGAATATTTAACCTTAATTCAAGGGAGAGAATGGTGATAAAGAAAAAGAATATGAGGAAGAAAATGCTTCTGGGTATGAAGATTCAGAAGATAATAAATCAAAAACGGTATAGATTTTAAAAAAAAATTTTAACTATACTTACAAATAAAAAGAAAAATTGCACACTAGATAATATTCATAATATAAAGATTTGATGGAATCAGGACAATACTCCTCTTGGTCTTTTTACAATTGAAAAAGTTGGTTATCAATAAGATCAGAAAATGTCGACTATCTTTCCACAAAATATATTAATATATATCACATATCTATATATATATAAATAAATATCAACAGCGATTAAGGCTTTAGCCTTATCCCGATTTCCATTACCAACTTTTTTAGTAACAGTATCTAATTCCAGTAATTGGCCACCAAGGACAACATAAACATTATTTTCAATGACAATAACACATTTAAGGCTTGGCCGATTTCTCTTGGAATTTTCATCATGTCTCATCAATAACAAAACGCCAATAACATTCCATTAACATTTACAAATCATCACCCCACCTAATTTTTTAGGACCATCTTTTGATAGTGTGTCAATACACCATAAATTATTTGCTGTGGTAGTGCAATAATCCAATAGCTATGAATCTGCCTAGAAAATCTGTATAATGACCTGTATTACTTGGATGTTCAAACACCAATATGGTTTAAAAAAATCCAAATGATGTAGTAAGTAGTGGTTGTTGTTGAAAATGGGCACTAAGAAGTAAAATATAACCTAGACTCCAAATAAATAACTTTTATAATTAAATAAAATCATATTTTTTATTAACGTTTGCACTTCAATTTGAAATACATCATACTAGAAAGGCTATCTTTGTTGTTCTTACGTTCTTTTTGAAGAGTGGTGATAAAAATAAAAGATTGTCTTGTGACTAAAACAATAAACTGATGTTCTGTAAATGTAGTGATGATATAAATGGTTGAATAATTAACCACTTTTTTAGAAGACTCTTAAAAAAATAGAAGGAATTGAATTCATTTTTTGAAAACTATAACATCATCATCACCAACACATTTTGCCAAAGCCGATGATGATGATAATCAAGGTGATAATGAATTAAATATAAGAATCATACATAAAATTAAAAATTCATCTAAAATCCAAAATTACCTCTCCTCATCTGTATAAAAGAATTGTGGGTACATACATATACCACTGCACAATAACTTGTTATATGAAATTAGAGCATTGTAATGATGTGGTCAAAACCAAAAAATTGAAACCTAGTAATGGATATATATATACCCTTTGATCTATCACTAGATGCCTTTTGTAGAAGGAGCTTCTATAGGTTCTTTGGAAAACAAAGAAAACCAAAATGCAATTCCAACAAAATTCACAGTGGTATTACCGCCTAGATTTGTTCCTAACAAATCAAGTAAATGGTTATATTCTATTCTAGAAAATTATATTTTCCGTCTGTACTTATTTTGATAAACAGACACTGTTCATAATAATAATACGTAACTTTTAGAAATCCACATACTATCATGTGCATGCTTGAGATAGTAATAGAAAAAATCAAAACACGGATCAAACAAAGAAATTCCACACAATGTACGTTGCGAAGATAAAGAACGGAATAAAAACAGATTGTCATCACCCTTTCGAAGCAGAGAAAAATCAAAAGTTAACGAACAAGAAATCGTAGGGTAAGTTTATTTTTTTGCAACTAATTGGCATTTTTGATATGCCATGTACTAGAAACCACCACCTCTCAATGAATTCATAATAATAATAGTAATAATAATAATAATAATAAAACATTTAGACCCAGTGAGTTTATGTAGAACTATGCAAAGTTAAACAATATTATCTTGAAGAATAAAAATATGTCTATCCAATTTTATGGTAACAAGTATATAGCAACATTTTTGTATTTCAAGATAACTGGTAAAGTATTTTGCTATTTAAGCCCGTTCTTCTCATCTCGATTTGTTTGATATTTCACACAACTACTTTATTTCTACTTTTTTTTTTTTTGACAAACATTTTTGTTTAACGATGATTCATGCGCAGCAACATACTTTCAACATGGTTCAGATGAAACTTGAATATTTGGGACACAAAAACAGGCAAAGCATACTCTTAACATACCAATAGAATTACATATATGATGTTATTTATAATGCTATTTGAGTAAAATCAAATTGTGTTTACCAATCAATCATAGTCAAGTGGGATTTGATGAACAACAATGTGTTGCGGCTGTAAAAAAGAGGCAATGAAACTTGGTTTGAAGTATTTGGTTTGGTATAAAAGAAAATAAAAAACATACCCCAATTCTAGTCGTACTGACGAAGATGGTAATTAGATTCATAAAGAATAATTATATATATAGTATAATTTGTGTACAAAATGTTGGTTGAATTTTATATCGATCACAAGTACACTCTAGCGATAATAAAAAAATTACATTTTCTTTTCATTCAAACCTTTTGTGGGTTTACTAAAAACTTGATGATAAAATTTATACATACATGAAAGCAATTTCAATATCAAGAGTGGAAGAAATCGGCCGATCAAGAAAGCTATAATCCATTCCAATTATCAGTCAGTATCAAAGCCAAAATATCAAGAATTCAGCCAGTACTTTCAAAGTTATTTAAGAAAAAGCTTTTCAAACACTAAATTTACGCCATTTACAACTAGATATAGATAATAAAAACAATGAGATGCATTAAAGGAAACAATTAATAAAATAAATCAACAAATAAGGATAAATGGTATTAGAGAATGAGCAGAAAGAATGAGGAGAAAGAGTAAAGAATGATATCGCTAAACTGGAACAGCAATTAGAACATTTAAAGCATCATTACTATTCAGAATAACATGCATTATTATTATTGTATCCACAACCATGTGACTTTGCATGAAAGAAACTATAACTATATTATTGGTTGGTATCACCATATTTATTTACATTGAAATAGTAAAAAAAAAATGAATGAGAGCAAAAAGAAACCCTAAACTACAATTTGGCCTTATCCATGTTGAGGTATATCAAATTATAAAATTCGAAACGGCACCATCATCACACAAAATTTTTATATTCAAGAAATATCTTTCTGTTTGTGTATTTCCCATTAACACATCTAATGATTTTCTACCCCATAATTTCTCCACGAACTTAGTTCTTCATTCATTTTTTCTTTTATATATATAATTTCATTAGCTTCTTTCTTTTGCGAGCTTTTTGAATAATGTTATGATTATTTGGGTAAGGATTTTCTCTGAAACTTTTTAATAAGAGTTGTTCTGTATATTAATATTTCGACAGCTTTTTTATTTAATTTGGTTAGCTTGGAAACATATTTAATGGTATTTAATCCTTTATTAATTTTATAATGTAGGATCATCAAACATAAGAAACTTAATTATCATTTATTATATGCAGCTTTTGTCACTCACTTGATACAATTAAACATAGGGTTGGTAATGAAAGATCGGGTTCATTGAGACCAACGAATTTGGTCTGGTCCATTTCCACTAAAAAAATAATTACTAAAAATGTGGGTCCAACCAATCAATGCCCAACAAACCAAATTGACCAACCATGATGGACAAGGTGATCAACTGTTCCTAAATATGGTTAAAATGATATATAAATGAATGAATAGTATTACGAATTAATTAGTATTACAAAACAAAGACATGTCCATGTACAAATAGAAAATAGCCACCTGAGTGTTTATTCTTTATCTTTCTCCTATTCCATATGAATTCCTCCATTAAAATGTTCTATTTTTAGATCAAGTGGCATCTCCCACACTTTTAACCGATAGGTACCTTTTAAAAATTTTACATAAACTAATCATTTTTTTACAAAAAGTTTTTAAATTAAGATTCATTGTTTCGTTTGTCACTAATACGCGCGCAGTTGAGGAGCATTAAAAATATCTCTCATTTCCTTGTTAAATTAAATGACTCTAGAAAATAGCACAAATATTTTCATATAACCAAACTTCCAATACCGTCAATCATTCAAAGATTCGATGGATTGCACCATTCTCAAGCACGTACGTACAAGTAAATAATGATTTCAACTTCACTTACTCGATAAATTTCGTATCCAACTAAACACAACACTTATTTTTAGTAGGAACTTGCCAAGATTTTTCAAAAAAGATAAAAATTTTGCCTGTCATACATCTCCATGCTTTTGAAGCGATCGATTTAGACTAAAGAAGGATATTTTTGAAAAAAATGATAACATCATATGGTCATAGTATTTCATATGATCTGTTGATATAAATTTTAAAGCATTCGGAGACATCATCGTACAGACACCTCTTGAAATAGGATTGGTTTTGCTTACGGGAGTGGTGTGATGAGGTACCCTTGATGTCATTGCACTGTAGACGCAGTAGTTTCGTTATCCTTTCTCCATCACAAGCATATCCATGAAATGACATTATTATACAGAATTTCACAACCGTGATGAAAGTGGATTCTTCATGTCAGATCTTGTTTATCAATATCCTTGATGCTTTCGGCCAATATATGGTTTAGTCTAGTGGCATGATTTTTCTATCAAATTTACAAAGTTTGATGTTAATAACTACGCAAAAGCAAAATTAAATGAAGTTACAAGTATTTGAGATGTTGATCATGCAATAAATTGGGTAAGTGTAGTTGTGTGATTTTATTAGCCATATCAAAAACCGGTTTCATATATATGAAGAGGTAAGAGTTTCCTAACAAAACATAAAAATTATTATATATATTAAACAAATAATAAAAATATTCAATCCTTTTACCAATGAATTTTACCAAAAAAAAAAATTTTTAAAATTGATCGTACAAAATTATCCATGACCCTTAATATTTTTGCAGAATGCATAATAATCATCGTCCCTGCTCAAACTTTAATTTTCTTTTGGAGCACAAAATAAATAGTCTAGCAGGATTATGATTAACGTGAACTCTAACTTTTTAAAGCAAGAAAAAGCATGTCATATAATTCCAAGATTATATATATGTGCGTGATTTTTTTTTTAATTGCCCTACAGGGTTAAAGATGACATGTTTCAATTAATATATGGCATATTGTTCTAATATAGCAGTAGTTATAAAGTTATTTGATAATTTCACCATTAATGGTTAAAATGAATCCATCTATTCAACAATTTATTAACCTCACCAGATAATGTTATTTCATTTAATCTTAAAAACAAAATCTATTAATAATAACATTATGGAGAGAGACGTGGGAGCTTTTCAATATAAACAGGGAAACTAAAAATAGATCATGTAAATCAGGTAAGCTCGATAAAGAGTTACTCGCGGGAGTGGCATTACCTCAAATTTGTATGCGATTTATAAATAAATTTACCTACCAATTCAATCATCTTTTCCATTTTAATATATATATATATATAATATATAAAAGGATATATTGTATATATATATAAATAAATTCTACATTTTCCAAAATTCATACATTGATATTAAAGTCAGTAACACCATACACAATTATGAATGATTGAAATACATTTTGAGTTTCTTATTGAAGAAATTAACTATTGTTGCTTATTATTGAGTGAGTAAGCTCAATAGTAATAATATTTATTCCAATTGTCAATATTTATATATGCCCTGTAAACCCCCCCTCCCCCAAAACATACATTTTCCCTTATTATTATTATTATTAATTATTATTATTATTATTATATTATTACTTTTTTTCAGAATTTCCGAATGTTTTTTTTTACATTCTATATGTTCGTTCGTATTATAATTGGTACCAGCACTAATACGTTTTTTTTATAGTAATAGTAATATCCTGAATAGGATATGCTAATTTATTAATTGACTTGATAAAAAAGGAAGTAGATGCTGAATGGAGATTAAGGAACGAATAAGTTTGGAACAAATGAATAAAATCTCAATTAGAAGAACTGGACGAAACCTTAGAATAGAAATTGAAAGAAGAAATGGAAATCCATTCATTTAGATTTTATCGAAAAAAGTAAGAGATTAGATTAAAAGGAACCAAGAAATGCACGCACACACACGCACACACACATATCTTGATTGAGAAATTATAAAAACCAATGGCAAAATAGCAAGCAAATCATGTAAGAAATCAAAAGAGGAAGTTAGAGAAACAGAACAAAAATAACAAAAATTTAGCCAAATAGTTCACACAAAACAACTAGATTATGAAAAGAAAGTGTACAACTAAATAAATATAAATAATAAAAGAAACAAATCGGCAAGAAAAGATTTAGAGAATCATTATGAGAATGGACAAGGAGAAAAAAAAAATTTTAAAGTACCAACTAAAACATTATTTAAACGAGAACAAGTAAATATTCTTCCCAAAATGAAAACACACAAAGAATTAGAAAAGCAAAAATCTTGAGTTGATTAAAGCTTGAATGGTGACCAGGCTAAATAAATCCAAAGCAAAACAAATTGTATTAAGCCAGTTAAAATCCGAGTTAAACTTTACGCTTTTGTGTTGATTATTATTACTATATAGAGGAATAATTAAAAATGAATCTTTTGATTTTGGTAATCTTTACAAATACACAAGTTAATTCAATTGAAAATAAAATTTGTGTTGCCATTTATATGCCTCTTTAGGTAAATTACTTTTTGTTGATAACGAAATAAATTTGTTTCGATTTCGATAATCAAGTTCTCAACATTTCGAATCAAACTTAAAATCAATGAATACTTCCGAACAAGGTAAATAAAGAGATATTAGGAACACAGAAATAACTATACATTTTGAATAATTTAAGAAGTTTGACAAAAATTATTTGTCGTACGCAGAAGCCAAATGATTTAATTTAATTTCGATTTTCACCTCGATTTAGATTTCTTCAACATTCAAAGGTAAAAGCAAGAATTATTATTGGTTTTGCATAAAGGAAGATCAATTACAAATATTCATATGAATGAATGTTACACATATTTATAAATTGGTATTACTTTAAAGATTACATATTATTGAAACCCAAACCACACCAATCAATCGCGTGTGTTCTAAATATAAACAATTATCTATATAATAAATAAAAAGCAATTTGGATCATTCCTTTCTTTAAAAACAAATTCACAAAGCAGCTGCGTGTAATCCTTATGTTCGGGGAAAAGAACCAATAAAAAATAATTCGGGGAGGGAAGGAGGTTTTTTTTGTGTGCATTTTTTTATTATTTTATTTTTTAATATTAAAAAAAAACACAATGCTTAAAATTCTATTAAAAAAAAAAAATCATATACAAATGTTGTTGTTGTTTGTTATTTTATGATGAAATATGAATGCTTAAAAAAAATTGATGATATTGAAAATGTATGAATTAATATTAATTAATGTCTATAAAGATTGAATGTGAGTGTGTGTGTATGTAATTGAAAATGATGCTTGAAAAAAAATTTGTGGTTGTTGTTATTATTGTCGATGCGAAAAAAAATTGAAATAAAAAATTGCGTTTATAAAAAAAAAATTTAAATGTCTATATATGTGTTGTGCATGTATGTTAAATGTAAACTATGTAAAATGAATTGCTCTAATATACCCTATAAATGTATAAAAAAACTATTTTTTTTTCGAAAAAAAAAATCGATGAATGAAAAAAATGAAAACGTCTATATAAAAATGTTCTATAATTTATTAATTTACAATCGAAGTCTAAAAAAATTTGTTTGCCTGCCATTTTTGTTTGATTGCCATATTCTAAAAATAAAAATAAAAATCTATGTGTGTGTGAAAAATGAAGTATATACTATATATACTATATATATATATATATAATATATATATATATTAATAATATTAATATGAAATAAATTAAAATATGTAAAATTTTATGCAAAATATAAAAATGTTCATTCAGATTTTTGCCAAAAATTGAAACTTTTCTTTTGTTAATAAATTTTGGAATTGATCAATAGAAACTTCCATCATTATCACAAGCATACTCTGCGAAAGAAGAAGGAACGACTGTATTGTATAATTGATGATCGAAATGATTTGATTGTTCTAATAAATAACCGCTGTTATTATAATCTATTCCTTGGAAACCTGGAGAACATGGAGAAAGTTGTTGTTGTTGGAATGATTGTTGTGTGTGGTAGGGGGAGTGGGTTTGAAAGGGTTGGATTGGTGTCATTGGTGCTGTTTGTATCGACAACGGTGATGATGAAGGTAATGAGATTAATTGAGGTTGATATGAGTATCCATCAATGGTAGTAATATCTGGTCCTCCAACAAATATTGGTGGGTAGTTAAGATTGGTATTAATATTTATATTATTGTTACAGTCATAAAAATCTCCATTAACGCTGTTGACATTAGTAGCAGCAGTATTAACAAAATTGAAATCAAAATTGCTATCTGTGGGTGTATGCACGTTTTCTTCAGTTGGTGAATATAAAGAATCATTATTATCGTTGTTGATGTTATTATTATTACGAACATCAGAAGTTGGATTCGATGTTTCAGATAATGAGTCAGAATTGACGGTTTCCAAACTGTTTCGTCTTTCTTCTATTTCTGCCATTTGATTGGCATTCAAGAACCTTCCTCCAGGGCCACGAGGTCTTCTTAGGGCATGTACATGGCGAGATTCATGAATATAAGGCTAATTAAAATAAATATATTGACAGATAATTAATCGGTTAATATATATCATTATTACGTGGCGCATGGACGATTTACAGCATTATTGATAGATTACCTTTCTTTGCTTGGAGAATCCATGCTTTTTTTCGAATCGTTCACGTGCAAATCTTCTTTTAATAATTCTGTTGCGTTGTTTAGGATTGATGGATAAAAAGTCTAATTGTTGTTGATGGCGATGATTACTACTATCATCGCTGTCGTCATTACTAAGATTACTAATAATGGTATCATCTTGTTCTTGTTTAATGTAAGTACCATCGTCAGCAATTTCTTTTTCATAATCTTCATCAAGATTTGTCTCGTGTTTAATGGCAGGAGATTGAGCGACGACTGACAATTGTTTTTCGGATGATGGAGACGTAGGAGGAGAGGGGAATTGTCGAATCAAGATACTATTAGGAGCAACATTGGCATTATTAATACTTGAAGTATTTATGGTTATGAGGGATGTTGGGGCATTGATTGGTGAAGAAGTGCAAGAAGAAGAAGAAGAGCCGTTTGTTTGGTTTGGCAACATAATTTGGGAGTTATGATGATGATTTTGATGGTGATGATGACCTTCAAAGAAGTTTAAAGTTCCCTGTAAGACAAAAAAATTTAAAGTTCATTTATTATTATGTAATATGAAAAAAATTTTTTTTTTTCGTGGGAAAAGAGATCACCAAATAAGATAATTACCATTGGTGGACAAAATTGAGGTTGCTGAAATTGATGATGATTAACATCATTCAATTCGACTGGCGACAATAAAATCGGTTTATTGTCTATTTCAGACTGGAAAAAAAAAATTTTTAAATATTAATACCATTTATTTATTATTTATTATTATTTAAAGATAAGTTTTAAAAAAATTTACCATAGAAGGGCCATTATTATTGAATACCAATTGAATCTGATGATTACCCGCGAAAGTATTATAAGAGTCTTCCTAATAACAATAATAATAACAATAATAATAATAATAATAATAATAATAATAATTTAGTATTAGTTATTATTATTTTTTTGAACTTAAAAACAAATAAGCTTTTATTTAAAAATATAGGCAGGCAGATTTACGTAATATATATTTCCACTTACAATATTAGAGTAATCGATAATGTTAGCAGAAAAGAGTTGATGATTTTGACTTTCCATTTCTATTATTTTGTTTTTTATTTCGAGTTATTAAAAATGTGATTATTCGATAAAATACTACAAGTTGTATTATAATATTATATATATATATATGTTTAGTTTTTTCGATGTATTTTTTTTTTTTGATCTAACAAAATATTTTTTTATTTAAAAACAAAAAGTTTTTATTTTGAATATTTAGAAAATCAAGTTGTCTGGCTCAATATTTATATTAAATTTAATTATACATCATAAATAAAAAAATAAAACACCAATAAAATTAATTATAATTTCGTTAATTAATAAAAAATAATTTTTGAAACGGAAAACTTTTATATAGCAAAATTCCTATTTTTAGTATAGATTGATGATTTTATAAAATTTTATAAACAATATTAGCTTATTGGTCGTTTTTTATTACTTTTACCCACATGGCTAATAAATCCCAAGATTCAAAAATTTAAATCTGATTTAATACTTTATATTTAACGTTTTAAAATACCTTTATTAAATCATCATCGTCTTTTCTGACCGAATATTAAATTTTTTTTAATAAAAAAAAATTTTTTTATTTTGATTACCATTTTCTGATTTAAAAAAGTGGGGTATAAAAGTAACATCCCTTTTTTTCTAATGTAACATCAACTTTGATTGGTTAACGATCTAAAAAATCGCCGAACTTGGACGAATCGAACAAACAATGAAATGATTAAAAATATTTGGCCTACCTAGAACATTTTAATTAAAATTAAAATTTAAATCTTAATTTATTTATTTATTTGTAAATACCATATTTTTTTCCTCATTAACGTTGATATTGGGATTAATTCGAATTTACATAAATTTAAATTAACATTAAGTTTTTTTATTTTGTTTGTATTCAAAAATAAATAATTTATGCAAACATTTAATTTCCCCGCAAAATAATTGACATTTTACAATTGTCGCAAGTTTTTTGATTATTCAAATTCTAAAAATAAAAATTTATAAAAAAATGCACTAATTAATTAACTTTTGGTTGGTTCAATATCAAATGTCCAAGCAGTGATCCCAATATTTGTTATTAGACGACCTTCTAATAATAATAATAATAATAATAATAATAATAAAAATAATAATAATAATAATAATCGTCGCCATTGTTAAAAGGTTTTCTCCAAAAATAACTTTTTTGTTAAACCAAAAAATTTTTAATTAACTAATTATTGTCTGCCTCGTATTGATTTCCGATGTACATTATTATTAAATAGTCGCATTGGAAATAATTTATGCTAATTCTATTTCCTTAATTAGGCAATTAAATCTGCCCCAACGCCCTGCTTATTTGGCTCACGTGTTTATATGTGGCACAATTGACCCTTCCTAAATAGTCCTATGAGGGAGCTAAAATAAGGTGCAATGAATGTATCTGTCTGTCTGTGTGTATGTATGTATTATGTGATTGATTTCCAAATAAATTACGGATTGGTGTTACACGAATTTGCGTATACAGCATGTATGTAATTAAATATATATATATATACATATATATTCTTTTGATGCTTTAATAAGGAATATTTTATTAAATATTACCATTACCCAAATCACCAAATGCTGCTCTCCAGCGTGAGAATTCCATGAATTTAAAATTCTGAAAATGATTGATTATTGATATGTGGTGACACATAAAATGTGGCGGAATCGCCCATCCCTCGTTTTAAATGCCCTACATAAATACCCGAATGAAAATCTAATCACACACAAACACACACACATATAAACACACATTCTTTAACAATTTAGTAAAGGTAAGTAAATAAAAGAATGATCGATTATGATTGGTGATTTCAAAAAAATAAGGGGAAAATATTAATTAGAAAATTTGATGATGACATATTGTAAATTGCCATGTGAAACATATTTTAACCTTGACGGTATATCCATCCCCTGCGCTTGGTTTACATTAGTAAATTTCACTGATCTGATTTCACGCCCCCCCAATTTAATAAATATTATAAATATTGTTGTCAGATCTAGATTTAGAAAAAATTTAAATTAAATTTTCCTATTGGATACTTTATTATTTTTATTTATTATTATTTATTATTTATCAATAAGGATTTACAATTATTTATTAGTTATGTAAGTCGGACAATTTAATTATTTTTTTACACGTTTTAATTACACGTTTCGTCCAAAGTGATGGATTACAAGGATCAATGTCATCGTACCAATCAGATCTATCATTAAAAACAGGGATAAAATTTATTATTGAATTTTTTCGGATCGACGACCCTTTACGCTGGATAGGTTGGTGGTGTGATATGGTAATAGGTTGTTGTGGTATGACTTACATCTGTTAATATCACTCTAGAAAGAATGGATAAGTGTTGGTTGGTGTATTTCTTGATATATTTTACGCTGGTTAACATAAATAAGCATCAGTTGGTGTATGGGTTGATGTGTTTATATTTAGAAATATTTTTTTGATTTTTCAATTCCATTCATTAAAAAGAACGCCGAGAAAAACTAAAAAATCTATAGGTGCATTATAAAGATTAATTAATTAATTAATTCGTCACAAAAATTTATTTTTCCACGAGAGTTAATGTACACATGTCAAAAATACAACAATCAAAAACAATAATAAATTTACACAATACCAATATTGTCTTTATTAATATATTTTTATTTACACAACCGTAAATTACTCTAAATTACAAATATTAACACCTTTCGTAATGTTTTTTTCGAGCGCATATTTTTTTGACCGTGCACCTTAAATCATACCAATGTTTTTGTTCTCGAATTATTTGTGTTTAAAACGAATGGTTTCGGAAATGTAAGGGTCAAAAATGAATTGGTGAGTGAGTTGGTGAATTCAATGTAACTGTATTTCCACCAATTAAATTTTTATATAAATGTACGAGTTATTTTTAAAGATGGATCATGACAAAAAGCAAATTTGGGTATTTGGCTGAATGATTGTATTAATTTTTGGGTGTGTAACAATTTTCCATTTTCATATTTTGCGTTTTTTTGATTTTTTTTTTTTTTTTTTTTTAATTTAAAATTTATCCGAATTTATTTATAATTACTTATTATTTATTATTTATGCAATTATTAATTTTCATTATCGTACAAATCAGTAAATATATATAGCAAATATTGTTTTACTATCAGCTTAACTATATATGAAATGAAATCTGGGATTTTTAATATCTTTTTTGTTTGAAAATATATATATAAAAAAAGAAATGATTTGTTTAATATAAATATATGGACATTGATTGATATATTAAAGAGGTCATTAGAAGACATTAACACGAGATCAAATTAACTGATAGGTAATCAACGAGAAAGAAAGTTTTGGCTTAATAAAAAATAAATGTAAATAAATAAATAAATAAATAAATAAAATAAATAAATGAATAACTATTTATTATTTATTTACATCCATTTTTGCTTTTTACTTTATTGATTATGTTAGTTTGCTGCGTTCTTTACATCATCATCGACATCACTATCAATATCAGTCAGCAACACCACCATCAGCATCGGTATCATTTTAACATTCAGGGGGCGAGCGTGTTTTTGTCTTTTTATCTTCCTTCTTTGATGTCTCTTCATAGTAATAAATAAAACATTGATGAAACATGTAAATGCCTAAATCAATCGTTTTTTTTTTTTTGCAAATAAATAACAAATTATTAATTATTATTAATTATTAATAATATCAATAATATTGATATATATGATAATAACCAATCAATAAAAAGAGTATTTTGTTTTTGGGATAATATTTTTTTGAATTGAATCCAAAAAAAAAACTATGAAATTTCTAAATCAAGTAAACAAAAAAAATTTAAGAACACGTAAAAATAATAATAAAATAACAATAAAACCAATCATGATCGTTAGTGATTGATTAATTATTATTATTCTATTGAAATTACTCATGACCGCACGCCATTTTTCTACTTTTAACTAGAGAATGTAATCCTTGATGAGGTGGTGCTGATGATTGAGAAGCAGGTGGTTCTGGTGACCGCCGAGAGAGAGAATTGTGTTTTTGATTCTGTTACACTACATAATTTAATAATTGCAATGGCCTTGTATTAAATGGTATCTTCCCACCCGGGTTGTTCATTTAACCCGAGGGACATGGGATATGTATATACCGATCACTATCAATTGGTGGTAGCAAATAGTAGGGATAAATAGTCACATTGGGAAAATTGACTACACCGATTCCAGTTAAAGAAATATAAAACGAACAAGCGCTGATCACACGAAAGTGGTTCACGGAATACCTAGTGCGGTCAGGTTATGCTCTCATATTTTTTTAATATATGGTTCATGGGCACTGTGTAACTTGACTTATTATCACACTCGTACGGCTCTTTATCCCTTCTAATAATAATAAATATAATTAATAACATTAATAATAATTAATGACTAACAATAACAATAACAATAATTAATAGTGAGGAATATCCCTCATAATATATTTTAAAGGTCAAAGCCTTATCCCTCCCTACCATTACTACCACGTTTCTAGGAACAAGTGTGTAACTTTCGGAAATTGTCCGCTTGAGATGCATATCCCTCAATATCACATTCAAATTTCCATGAAAATAAATAAATCAATTCGACATTTCAAATTTAAAATCTCAAAGTTTCATGCGCTTCGGATTTAATATTGTCCTTTCGCATATTGCCATGTTGTACATGTTATAGTCTTCTTCATATGGAAGACAGTTGTCAAAAGAGAGATGACTCTAGTAATTTCAATAGACATTTTCAATAAAAAAAATACTTATTGTAAAATGCAATAATAATTAATCTGTTGCTTTTTAAGGTTGCATACATGGCATAGTAATATTTTGTTGGGTTTTACAAACAATATTAATTTCAAATAGCCAAAATCAATTTCCGAAACAAGAATTTTCTTTTTTACCATAGACAATCAATGTTGTAATAATTCATTGTTTAAAAAAGTAAATATTTTTCATATTCTATAATGTGTCGAAAAAATTATACTTGTAAAATCCAAAAACAATCCTTTAGCTTTTACTACATAGAGTCAAACTCGCCTTATGTAATGTGATTTTGTTGTATTATATGTGTTTCAACATGTTTTATGTGTTTAATTTAGCACATCCCCAAGTTATTCATTCTATGGGCCAAAATTAATGTTTCATTTACCAATTCAATGAAATGATGATACTTTTTACTATTCAAGTTTGACCTGACCCAAAAATTTGATGATCAAACAGGTTGAGCTGTAACTCAAAGGTACACACCCATATCGCATTGTTTGGCCATGGGTGAATTCTCAAATAATTAAACTTTTTTTAGTATGGTCAATACATCCAATGTGGATGGGTGGTCAGTAACGGTCTCATCTCGATTATAAAGCGGGCCAAAATTTATTACTGCACAACAAACTAAAATTTTTTTTACAAACTCATAAATAGTTATTGTTGTTGGTAGGTGTTCTCTATTTTTATTAATTTATTAATGTATTATTTCTAAAATATACAAATGTGTATTTATATTATATATATATATTTTTTTTTTTAATATTTGACATTATTAAAAAAAATTTACACATAAAAGTTAGTTGATATGAGGGTAAAAAAAAAGTGTAAAGATGTAAAGATGAATGAATTAATTAATTTTAATGGAATGAAAATTAATTAATAATGAATGAATGAAAATGAATTAATGAAAAAAATAAAAATAAAAACAAAAATAAATAGCAAAAAATGAATTATATATAAAAAAAATTTACATGCAATATATGCAATATATATTGTAATGATTATAATGATATGAATAATGTGTGATTTTGTGATTGTAATTGTTTTTTTTTGTTTTTAGTTTATGTAAAAAATATATTTAAAACCTTGTTAAAAGTTGATTGATCCCAGCATCTAATAATAACATCCATTGTAAAAAATCATCTGTAGTTTTTGACAAATCTTCATATACTTCATTAGTGCCACGATAATTATCCATTTTTAATTGTCTTAACTCTGGCCCATCCTTTATTATCTGTGATGATTGTATTGCAAAAATTGGTCTCGTAGGTGAATTTTGATTTGATGGTGATGATAGATTATGATGGTGATGGTAATTTATCAAGAATTTGGCAGTGGAGGGTGTTGGTAAAGATCCTCCAATTTGTCCTGGATCCTCAGTTAACACCAACTTGGCTTTTGGTGATTTTTGTATATTGCCTCCACCAATACTGGTGGCTCTTTGTCTTTGCATATAAACTCCCAAACTACCATTTATATTATTGTTATTGTTGTTATGGTTATTGTTATAGTTATTAGTATCAGCCTCAATATCATTAATATAATACCTGTTTTGCCCTATTAATTCTTCTGTATTAGGTCTATTGGTTTGATTTAAAGTTGTTGCTGATCTAACTCTTCTTGCATGATGTGATGATGGATACTGCCTACCCCCTTGACTACTTGATCTATATAATGGTACTCCTCCTGAATTATACCCATCATCATCATTATTCTTATTATTATTATTTGTTGCCATATCATAACTTCCATGTCTTACTGGCATCATAATTTTAAATCCTTTTTTACTAGGTGATGAAGGATATGATGGATTTAAATTGCTACCACTATTATTATTATTGCTATTACTAAGGTTGTTGTTGGTAACCTCGTTACAATTATTAGATCTATTACTATCTGTCGATGAACCAGACGAACTTGATTTGTGGTTCATATGTATTGATGTTGGAGGCGTTAATAGGCAAATATTATTAGTTATCTGACCCATCGATTTCTCTGAATTCATTCTAATCAATTGACTCGATTTTGCATGTGGTCGAAACGAAAAATACCCACTATCTTCTTTGTTAGTAATTGGTTTGACACTAGATAATAATAATAATCCATTCGAACCTTGAGTTTGTTGAGCATTTTTTAGTATGCTTGATGACGAGTCTGTTGATTTATTCAGATTGTTATTATTGTTGTTGTTAGTCAATCCATTTTCCATTGAAAATGAATTTTTTGATTGGCTAAAGGAGGAATATTGTGAATTAAATAAATCTTTTTTCAATGTTCGTGAAGAAGAAGATGAAGAAGAAGAAGAAGATGTTAAACAAATAACTTCATTATAATCTGATGGTATGGATATTATAGGACTTTCGGAATGTTCATTTGAAAACAATGAATTATTATAATCTTGTTTTCGATCATCGTTGTTAAATAGTTGTAAAAGCGGATGTTGATTTTCTGAATATTTCCGTGAATATGTGTATCTTTTCGGCGATAACTTCTCGTCATTGTTTGTTATACGCCCATAACTAGCATTTTGTTGTGATTGTAGTGTTGATGTCGTTGGTGGTGTTGGAAATGATAATGTTGCTTTATCATTATCATCATTATCATCATTAACATTATTATTATTATTATTAACACTACTATTACTACTACTATTAATATTTTTATCTAGCGCTGTTGAATGTTCATCGCCTTCAATCACAGGTGACAATTTATCCAAATTACTTGCAAGTGATCCTAAAGAATGTGATTTACGATGTATCGCTGTATTCGCCGTATTTTGCACTGTCTATTTGTTGTTGAAAATCAATTTTTTTTACGTGAATAATTTTAACTAATTAATTAACTGTAAAAAATCACAGACTTACATCGAAAATCCAAGCATCCTCATCGTCGTCATTATCTCCAATATCACAAGAATCACTTTCGCTATATATAATATATAATATTTATTTAATTATTTAAAAAAGTTGTATTATTATTCTCAATTAAAAAAAAAAAAACAATCAATAGTTACCTCGAAGGTGTTCCATATGGATCTGAAAATGATTGACGATACCCTGTTGTTTGTTTCCATAAATCAAATCTCGCAATGAGATCTCTTAATATCCCATTTTGATGCTTGCTTATACTTTTTATAAATTTGCATTTTATTAATTCATCTGCTGCCGGGCGCTATTTAATAATAATAATGATAATAAATTGATTAATTGATTAATTAAATATTATATTATATTATATACTACATTATGTATATTTACTTGTTCAGGGCATTCGTTAAGACATAACGAAACAAATTCCTTTAAAGGTATTGAATAAGGACCCTCTAATTGGGCTGGTGGATTCCTTGGAATCAATTGTATTGCTCTCATTGCGCTTTGATCATGATAAGGTGGATTTCCTGTAGCAATTTCATATACAGTAATTCCTAAAGACCATATATCAGCCTTTTTTTTAAAAAACATATTTTTTGTAAATAGTAAATAAAATTATATAATTTTTTTTTTCTTATTTTTTTTTTTCTATTACATACTTTCATATCATAGGTTGCACCCTCAATAATCACTTCCGGTGCCATCCAATATCTAAAATTTTAAAAATATTAAGGAATAAAAAAAATTTTTTTTAAAACAAACAAATTCATTTATGTATATATAAATGGAAAGGATACGGTGTACCAACGAACGATGTCCTTTTTGATGAAGATGCAGTTAATTGTCCTGCTACTCCAAAATCACATAATTGAACTTTTCCTTCAGCAGTTAGTAATATATTTGCAGCTATAAAATGATGATAACAATAATCATAGTAATTATAATAATATTTTAATATATATATTGAACTGTGTCTAGAAAAAAAAGATTTATTTGTTAACTGAAAATAAATCACACGCACCTTTAATGTCTCTATGAATTATTTTACATTTATGCAAATAAATTAATGCTTGTAATACCTCTTTAGTGATACTTGATATGTATTTTTCTTCTATTCTTCCAGACTTCATCTATAATTCATAAATTAATTAATAAAATCATTCTTACCAAAGATCAAACAAATGGTTTCCCTATACATTTATCTTATAGTTTCATACCAAAGTTCTAATACTTCCACCAGCTGCATACTCCATAATAATCCATAATTTTGTTCCATGAAGAAAACTTCCATAATATCTAGTTATATTTTGCGATTCATGCTTTAGTTGTGATAATAAATTGATTTCTTTTATTATATCGTCTACATCATCTTCTTCTGCATCTAAATTTAAAACTTTTATTGCTACAACTTCATTTGTCTCATTATCAATCCTACAAAACGGAAAATCCACAACACGGTGAGAAAAATTTGAGTCCGATTAAAAAATTATATAATTTTCAATTTCATGGTTTTGAAGAAATAAAAAAATTAAAAGCAAAAAAAATTTACCGACCCTTTATATACAGAACCATAAGCACCCCTACCAACTAATTCTTGCTTAGAATAACGTTCTTTACCCTTTTTTTTTGGTGTAAAACGTTTTTCTGCAACGTTTAACATCATTATTATAAATGTTATTATTGTTATTGTTATAAAACTAATATAAAATCGTAAAAAATTTTAAAAAAATTTTTCAAAAAAAAATAAGAGAAAAAATTTAAAAATTGAGAATTATATGATTTATATCTATTTATATCCAGTTTCTTAATAAAGTAAAATATTAACGTAATTTTTTTTTTTAAACTTTTTGTGAATCGATATTTGAAACGTGCGCGTGTGTAAAACAAAGTACTACAAAGTTACAATCTAAATATATATGACTTTTATAGGAGTTTTTAAAAAAAGATAGTGTTTTCTGAATTTTCTGCATAATAATGCCAACAATAATAAACAACAATAATAATAATAACAATATTTTCGGAGGATATCTGTATGATTGTTAAAAAAGAATTTTTACTGGTCACATGCATCCTTTTAATTAATTAATATTAATTAATTGAATTTTAGAAAATTATAAATTTCTTCGTTTAAATTTCCTCTAAAAAACACGATCGCAAAAATGTCTTATGATTATTTACTGGAGTCGTGCAAAATCCGCCATATTATTAGATCGCACTTTTACTCGCACACAAACATAATCTATGACGAATTAATTCAATCCAAACTCTCGAGAAAAAAAATTAGTTGACGATCATCCTTTGATTTTTTTTTTCTAAAGTTGTACGATGACAATATACACCAATAAAATAAAAATAAAAATGTTGTATCATCCAAGAATACAACGTCTACGTCTCACATTTCATTTCCTCAAATCTTTCTAATAATAAATGGCTCATATAAGATATATTGGTAATTAATGGATTGTTTTATTTACTCGTGGAATAAGTAAGACAATGATGAATAAATAAATAAATTAACAAAAATTACGGGAACCAGTAAAGAACGAAACACATGTAATTCAAACTAATAAATCAAACAAATAATTGTTTTTTTTTGAATTTCGAAACCAAAAAAAAAAATATTTGTAAAAGGATGTGGTCGTGCATAATGTAGATCATCAAAATTTGTAAGTCACCAATTTGAAGGCAATGAAGTTAATTTACATGGTTTTTCAGGGTATCGAGCATTGTATTTAATAACCAATTCTGGTTCATATAATCTTACATCATCTAATTGATTTCCAAGTGTCATCCAACCAGGTCTTGTGTTATGTTGTCTTCCAAATATTTCTAAAGAAATATTCAAATAATATGAACATTATACAGATATATAAAAATCTTGTTAAATAAAACAAACCTAATTTTCTTGTTCCTGGTGCCAATCGATCAATTATACCATAAATCTCATCTGGTTTTCTACTTGTTTCACGAACCTTGTTTTTTTTTAAAAAGCAATTTATTTATATGAAAATTCAAAAAAAAAAAAGGCTTTTGATATTAACAACTATATAAACAATTTTCACACGCTAACCTCACCAACCAATACATCGCAGTCAAGACCCCAATTTAAACCTTCTGGATTTCCTTTAATTCCGACAAGGCAATGTTCCTTACTATGGTTTAACCAATGACCAGTCCGACCTGTTCTTATTAGTCGTTGTAATTGATTAGTCTTGATCCATACCAATTCATCAGCCCGATCATAACTACATAAAAAAGTATATGCATCAATAATTAGAAATATTCAATTATACTTTGTGGATATTTACCCCCAAATAGCCAAACATTCTCTTCCTAATTCCATTGCTCTACCAGTAACCCACAAAAATATCAACCCTTCATCTTGTAATTCTGATATTGCCATTGCTTTCATTTCATCATCAGTCATGGTTCCATATGGAAGCTATAAACAAATAATAATAAATATTAATTGTAATGGAATATAACAATGTATTAATACAAATATTGGATCGAACTGTATATTACCGTCATATGAATATCCCATGGAGGGTCTGCCATGATAACGGTGAATTTACCTAATATGGAAAAATCAAATTTACGTACATCGCAATTTATCCATTGAGGGGGCAACTATATAAAAATCAACCGCATTTTATAAATTCAAATTGACAAATCTTTAAATTTTTAATAGAAGAAAAAAACTTACCACTTTTGTTGGTGGTGTGAATACCTAAAATATAGAAAGATTGAAATATTTGTAATCAATAAATCAAACAAACAATTAATTGATCAATTAAATCATTGCATATACAATTGCTAAATAAAAACTCACCACACCAGATGGAATTTCATTGCGTTGAACAAATGCCCATTTTTCTTCATCATCATCCAATTCGTAATGAACATATTTACACGTGTCCATTCGATGACAAGTGTTTAAATACGAGCAATCCCCGAGTTCCAATTCAGTATGTGGGCGAAGCATTGGTCGAAAATGTAGCTATTTAACTAGGTAGTTAGTTGATGAAGCATTTAATTATATGTAAATACAACCAAATATTCCTCTCCCTCCCTCCTTCCAAGAAGGAAAAACAATATATGCACACATACCCTATTACATGCTCGAGCAGTTTTACGATTTTTTTTACAATCTGTTTTAGTTCCATGAACACAAAATTCTCGGAAATAATTATTTGTAGAATGAAACTATTAATAAAAAAAGTCATTGTGAGATAAAACCAGTTTACTAATATTATAAATGTTAAAAAGAATTGAAAATATTACCATTTCCATAATTAGCTGATCCTTGGAAGATTTTTTATTAAGCATAACGCATAAATCCTGAAGTAAATTATTTTGTTCAGCTTCGATAAAAGTCGGTTTTTCAAGAAGTTCATTTATTTCTTTTGCAACTAGAAACAGGAAAAATAAAAAAAAAGTTAATAAACTTCTCTTAAATTCTTTTTTGAATCCAATAAAAAAACATGGGTAAATTTTACATTCTTCGTCATCAATTGGATCTTCTTCTAATTTACGTTTCTTGGCACCTTTTGTAGCCGTAGTAATAGCAGGTGCCTTCAGTTGTAAGGCCTTTTCTAATAATGAAGGATTATCTGAATCTATTGCACTGATTGATTTATTCCATCAATGTTTAGTAAAACCAATCGTCGGTATTTTGAATCGTTAAATTACTAAGCTTTGATGTTTTGATCCTAACCTTTGAATTATTTTTATAACACCCAATTTTTTGATATCTACTTTTTCTACAACAAGTCTCTTTTTTGAATTTATATTTTTATCTTTGGCTAATATAATGCCAGGGCCCCATATATTTGATAAGGACTTTAAAGCAATTTCAAGCTTATTCAACGAAGAATTAGTAAATGTAATCTTATATGTCGTCTGCCAAATAGCAATTCTAAAATTCATAAAAATATATAAAAGTATATTCAGTTATAGTTATATATTTGTTCTCATAAAAACAATTATAATGTGATAATCAACCTTTTCAAAAGATCATAAGAATCTAATGGAAGTAAGTCAGTATTGTTTAATCCATTTGCAAAATATTCCAGTAAAAGTTTTTCATAAATTTGACAGGAGAGTTTTTCACTATCTATAACATTTGGTTTTTCAACAACCGTTGTGGATGTTGTTGTTAATTGTAATTGACCAGTGTAAACATTTAAAATTTTCTCTGGGGATGTTAAACGATCATTATTTGGTGACTCGGAGTATGTTTTATATTTCTTTTGAATTTGTTTTAACTCTTGTAGTGTTGTTTTTATCGGTTTAACTTCTAAATTTTCCATTTTTTTATTTTTATTTTTTATTTCAAAATCAATTTCCCTAATACCCTTTAGAAATGTTACACGTATACATATGTATATGTTAAAGTCAAAAAAAAGTTAATAGGGATTGAAGGGATTGGGAAAATTTTTATACAGTATCTTTTTTAAGCTATTATAATGAATATTCTATCTATTACAACCCTTTAAAATTTACTTTTTTCTTAAAAAATCTTGCAATAACCATTTTTTATCAATATTAAACAATTTCGAAAAAACTTTTTTTAAACTACTTTGTACTACAAGACAAAGATTGACCCATATGAAAAATTATTATTATAATATATTATTATAATAATTACTAATGGCTTTACATTATTTTTTAATCTTTGGTTTATTTGTTGTTGAGGTAATTTATTCTATTTATGTGTAGTTTTGAAATATTACTATTACTAAATAAATATTTCGTAAAATATATAGATAGCAGCATTTTTAGTGTTGATTGTAAGTACACAAGATTATAATAAACAAAACGAATAATAAAAATCATATTTTTTAATTCTGAAATTTTCACTTTTTATATAGATTCCTTTCCCTTCAAGATTTAGACGAAATATATTACTTTGGATATCAAGATCAACTTTAGTGAGTTGCCACCACAATAGCATATATATTAATATTTAGTATATATCATTTTACGTGCATATAATAATAATCTTTCTATGATATATATACGCATACACACATTCATCACACACTCATATGTATATATAATACAGATTGCTCAATCCCAATTTGTTTTAAAGATGACTTTTTTGTAAGTTTTATTATTATTATTATTATTATTATTATTTTGTATTCTAAATCACCATCGATCTATAAATAAATATTTATCATATAAATTTATTATATTTTATTCTTTAGTATTGTTACTGTGTTGTTTATAGGTGATTTAAATATATGGATAATAAAATTAAGAAAAAATCAAAGTTTTAAATTTTAGATTTTATTTTCTAAAAAATTTATTTCTCCGTAGATGCTACATATGGTACTTACAAAATACAAAAAGAAATAGTTGACCGCTCTGATCAAAGATTAGCATCTGTCCATGCTGCTAAAAAATTTTATAATCAACGTAATATGTAAGAGTGAGATATTTATATTTATATTTATGAATTATTACAATTATTAGAGATTTATAATCTATAAATATTATTATTATTGTTTTCAATTATTTACAGGTACCTCACTGGATTTACACTTTTTCTTTCATTGTAAGTGTCTGTTTTCCCTATTTATTATGTTATTGTTTTTAATTTATTTTTATAACAAAAAATTAATTTTTTCTCAAAAAAATAAACTTTAGAATCTTGAATCGAACATATATATTAATATTGGATCTTACAAAATCTGAGGGTCAACTTGAATCTGCTAAAAGAGAGGTAATTTACACTCACATCGCACGCACGCACGCACGCACTCGCATACACATATATTTAACTATTAAAAAATTTTTGACGTGACAGATTGGAATTCAAAATGAATCAGGTGAAAAGGGAAAAAATTTGAAAAAAGAAAATCAGGATCTCAAAAAAGAACTGGAGGAACAAAAGCTGAAATCACAAGAAACCGAGAATTTGCTAAAACAAATAGAACTACAAAAATCCGAATATTTGAAGTTACTAGATAAAGTAAATGAATACGAAAAAATTTTGCGATCGTCAGCCTAGAAAATTTTTTCGTCTCTTTTTCGCTTTATAAAATAACAATTTATATTATGAATGATGTATTTTTGGTTATGATATTTAAAGAAATTATTAATTAGAACGAATGATCGATTACTGTGATGTTGGTCTCTTATTATTATATTCTTATATTCAGTGTATTGCTTATTTATGCTGTTAGGCCAAATTTACCGATCTTTAAAATTTAGCTAAGCTTCTTACATCATAATTATTAAATGGGGAATACTGCATACACACACAGACAGAGCCATTTATATTTACCAAAAATAGAAAATAATTCAAAATACATCACCTAAACAATAATCATATGTAGCACAAACTCTAACAATTACAGTTTTATTTGGTTAGTATTCGATTCATACACTGCCGTGTAGTGGTCTTTAAAGTTCTGGTTTTTAGAGCTAGTATTTCATTGGCTTGTAATGATTCTTTTTGGGACCAGGTCCTCCTGAGGTTTCTTCAAGGAAATGACTACACATGTGATCTTGATGTTCTGGCTTACAAAACCAGTATTAGAAGGCCTGTAAAACCTCACGCAGGCGAGCCTGTCTTGGCGTTGTCAGCTAAACAGCCATTGGCGATTTCAAGGTACTGGTTTTTTATGCTGATACTTCCCTGACTCGTAATAATTCCTCGGGATTCAGTGAAGTAACCTGCGCAGCGACTTGAAGATTCTGATTTTTCTAGTTAGTGTTCTGAGAACATGTAATGAGCCTGCTGTTGTTAGCAGAATAATTACGCAGCCATCTTCTTATTTAGTTATTTCAGTAACCTTGGATGGGTTTGGTTAACCTTACCTTTTCTTTTTCATTTAACAAGACTAGCTATGTTTTTATTTAAAGATTATGGTACTTGTCCTTTTGTCACTTTAAAAATTTTAAAAATGACAAAACTTTATCATTCTGTATAGAGTCTCATAGAAATGCTTGGAAATGTTTTATGGAATGATTATAAATTAATAAATTTTTTCAAGCAACTGAAATATTTCTATGGTCAACGGGACACAATCTCGTGGATTAGGAACCAAAGCTAAATCGTTGTTAAGCGAAAGAATCAGGTAAGGAAAGAAGTGTAACAGAATTGTCCATTTCAGGAATGATTGTTTTAATATGAATACAACTATATACATAATAATATTTATAAAACAATAAATTTTTTCCACAAAAAAGTAAATTTTTTAGGATTGTTTAAAAATAAAAATAAAATAGAAATACCCAGCAATTCAATATTGAATATTGAATAATAAATGGGAGTGAAAATATAAAGGCTTTAGCAGAGTAGTGGCCCAAAAAATAAATTATTTTGAATCAATGAGGAATAGCTTTTGGTAATCAATTTCCACTTTGGAATTCACAGTCCATTCATTGCAAATCTTGAAGCGAGTAACATAATAATGGCTTGAAATAGTTATTAAATAATCTACTGCTTTTATTCCATTCATTATATTTTATTAATTCCTGGATCTACAACATGCAGCTCATACTAAATAGGAAGTATTCAAATTCTTGTTTACCCTCTTACCCATAATTTAATCCTAAATTGCCTGGTTTTTATTTTTTTTTTTCATAAATATTACTTGAACAGATTTTAAACTTAGAACCTTCACCAATCCCAGTATTTTTAATTCCTCACAATCAACCTTATAAACTATTAATTTTTACTAAAAGAAAACAAACACCGTTCAACAAATGACTTATATAGATTACCTAGACCCACAATTTAGATCTCATCTTATGACCAAAAAATGTCTAATGGAAATCCTTACAAAATATAATATACCCTGCAAGCCAAGCATGAAAAAATCAGAAATTGTAGAGATCTTTGAACGAAACAAAAAGCGTCTACAAAGTTTAACAGTAAATAATTGCATTTATAATTTGTTTATATACAAAAGATATTATATATAAATCCTACTACGTTTATTCATAACTCCCTTATTATCGTATTTATTTAGTTTGATAATGAAACAGGACACTCAACAGATCAAGAATCTAATAATTCTGATGACAATAATGAAGTAGATAATGGTAATGAATCCGACACAACGGTTGTATCATATAATGAAATACCATCGAAAATAACCGGATCTTATATAATTAACGGAACCACTACTATTATTCAAGAACAACATACTACAACAACCCAGAGACAACCTGCTACAACAACTCAGAGACAACCTTCTACAATCCAGGAACAACTTGCTACAATAACTCAAGACCGACTATCATCGCTATCGTCAAATAATGCTAATGAACCGCCGCCACCTAATATTGTTGATGAGCCATCTTCAAATAATGCTGATGAATCCCCGCCATCTAATATCGTTGATGAATCACCTTCAAATAATGTTAACGAATCACCATCAATAAATGATATTGAAAGATCACCATCGTTACGAGTTATTTATGGAAATACGTCGCATGAGCTACATCACCATCTTCCAAGATATTGTGGAGCTGGAACTAAATTTAATAGTAATGATTATTTCAGAAGGACAAATCGAAGACTAAATCTCAAAGTTTATAATGAATCAGAATGGATCCAAAAGAAAAATATACTCAAATCCATTGCCTTAATTATTATTATGGCTCTATTATTTTGCCACAGAGTTAAAAATTCAACAGGATATTGTCATAATGGTAAGTATTATATGTTTAAAATAATGTATATATAATTTTTTTCGGGAAATTTTATTTCTTTAATAACTTATAATTATAATTATTTAATAGGTGACTCTAATTGGATTTGCACACCATGTCCTGATTCATCTAAATGTATTGGAGGTAGAATAGTTTCATGTGATGATGGTTATAAATTATCGAAATCAATTTTTTCTCTTTATGATATGACATCAACCTATTGTAAAGCTGAAATGAGCGCCAAAGAAAAAACAGCATTATATTCCGAAACATTGAAAAAAGCAGCTACCACTCAAAGTCAAAATAATATGGTTTGTGGTAATGGTGTAAAAAACACGATGCTCTTGCACAATCTTAAATCTCGAATAAGAGATCAAATGGTATGTATATACTTTTATTTTAAAAGATGTTAATCACACATGATTCTTATTAATTATTTTTGACGATATGAATATAGTATGAAGATTCAGACGAAATCTTTGAAAATTTTATTGGGCATGGTTTAGAAGCGTTAAAAAATGATCATGATTTAATAATTCGTGAATATGGAATCAAGTGAGCGACTTTATTAATAATATTATTATTTAATTTTTTGTGTAAAAATAATCTAATTTTATTATAAAAAAAATTCAGTGACTATTTAATTATCCCTAAAGAACCAAATTATACAACCATTTGCAGAGCAAGAATTTTTTTGAAGGATGCAGTCACAAATCATCCTTTTTATACTATAGGTAGGTTCATTTTTAATGGAAATAATTTTCAACTAATGATTTTTATTTATTATTTAAATTATATATTAACATAACAACAATAACAATATTATTATTTTTAGTTGGTTCTGTTTCATTTGTCATATTTTGTTCGTTGTGTATTTATATAAGAAGACAAAAAAAATATAGACAATTAGTTATTCAAGCAACTGATCACTTACTTTGTTCGATTCGATTTGAACCAGAAGTGGTATCTTTACAATGGCGTAATTTAATCTTAAATAGATTACTTCAAGATAAAACACTTCAGGACAAGATCTGGATCGAAGTGGAAAATAATGTTACAAAACATAGATTCGTGATGTCAAGAATTGTTTTATACAATGGCAAAGAATCGTATTGTTTTAAATGGGTAGGAAGACGATAACAAAAACACAACAATAATTGCTTTATTTTCGAAATTCTATTTTTAATTTTAATCTTAAGTTTTTTTTGCATATTATATATATATATATATACATTAATTTGGGGATTTCTTTCTTTTTAGTTTCAATTAGAATAGGAAGAGGGAAATTTTAATTTAATTTTAAAAAAATAAACGTTGATGTTTGAAGATATATTTTTTTGTAAATAATAAAAACAAGACATGCATTTATTATTAATAATAATTCATAGAAATAATCATTTATTACAATAATAGGAGATCACAACAAATTTTTTTATTATTCTTATTAATCATCAAATTTTTAAAAGAATGTTTATTTCAATTAATCATTTCATCATAATCATCATCATTAATTTCATTATCCAGTTGAAGATCACAGTTATTATTATTGTTGTCGCCGTTGTTGTTATTGATATTATTGACCTTAGCCTGTTGTTGTTTATAATATAAATCTGCTATTTGTTCACTAGTTGTAGCATCCTCAATGGATTTGTCATCTCTAACTTTAACAAATCTTGGAAACCTTAGTGATAATCCTTTACTATTATCAATTAAACCAATTGATGCTTTATATATAGGAGATATAGTTACAATTGCACCTTTAATCTCCCAAACTTCACTAGGCTCAAACCAAACTACATAGATTGATTAGTTAATTAATTAATCAATCAGGTAATAAATGCCCAAAAAATTTTTCATTAAATACCGTCAGGTTTCAATTCTTCACCAACATCAAAATACCATTTCTTATCTTCTAAAATATTATTATTCTCTTTTGAATAATGTGACTTCATTTCACGATAAAATTCATCTGAAAACCCAGAAATGCATTTACATAAACTTTCAAATTTTTCCGTCTTATTATTATAAATTGCTAATAATATTGGACTCCACCATCCTGCTTTACGTCCATTACCATGCCATGCTCCAATTGGCTTACAGATATATAATATTACAATATCATTAATTATTAATATTCTCACATATAAAATTTGAATACATAATGGAAAATATTTAATTGTTAAATGTAATGCGTATTTACCACTACATCAATGCTATCACCTGTATTTTCAATATAATCTTTTTTTACTTTTAACCAACTTTCAAGTCTTTTGTCTTTAGTAAATAAATAATAGGAAAGAAGAATATTATTTTCAAATAATAATATTTTTTTCAAAAAGAAATCAAAATCAATCTTATTTTACCTGGTTCGTAAGTTGCTAATAAGTTCAACGTCCTTTTAATTTTTAAATCTCCAGTCAATAATTTTGACGATGAATTTGTACCACATTCGCTGCTATTGTTATCACCATCATCACCACTATTGTCATTATTGTCTAATAATTTAATCATAATACCTTCGCAAGGAAAACTTTTTGATTGTTTAAAAAAATCAAGAATTTCTTCTGGATCAGAAGATTCTATTTGATTTACAAATGTAAATCTCTCTGGTATTTGAATGAAATTTTTTTGTAATAAATCTCGCCTATCTCTTAACGAGGATTTTAATAGAGACTAAACATCAAAAGGATTTAATATTTAGTAATTGAAAGCTTTAAATTAAAACTAAAAATATTGTAATCAATTAAAAAAATTCTATTTACCTTTCCATTAAGATGCATCAAATCAAAAGCAAATATACATACTGATACGGTGATAGATTCTAAATCGACATTTTTACGTGATCTATTGGCTAGAGTTTGGAAATTTTGTAATTCTCCTTTTGAGTCTATTGCTACGACTTCACTGTCCAATATAAATGAATCCACATCTTTTGAACATATTTTTGGTATAACTTCAACAATATCAGGATATTTATCTGTAATGTTCTATTATAATAATGATCAAACAAATTAATCGTTAAAATAGAGATTTTTTTTTTAATTAAATGATAATAATAATTAACATACCTCTAATTTTCTACTAAATATCAGTACTTTACCATCTGGTCCCATGTGAATTTGAGCTCTTTGACCATCATATTTATATTCGCAATTAAATGCTTTACCTTTAAATATTTCAAATAATGATAATAAATCTTTTGTTATTTTACCTAACATTGGCCTGATAGGAACACCTTAATTATTTGTTATTAAGTAGAAAATTATTGATATTTTTATAAATTAATTAAAAAAGTAAAATAATAAGTAATCGTGATCATGGTCATGATCAATATTACCAATGGTTACATGACAAATATCCAATATTTTTTCCAGTGGGTGCTCTAGTAAGCATTTAATGATCCCGTTGTAGCATGGATGTTGAGCATAACATTCTTTTAATAAACTTTCAGCAATTTTTAGTTTATTATTAATGGATACTTTGGATTCATTTTTAAGATCTACATCAAGGTATTGGTATTTTAAATCTGATAAATTATTTGGCTTGGTAAGGCAAAATGCTCTTGCAAGTGCTATCAAACAAGTAGTTTTTACTGCACCAATCCTTAGATTTTGTATCAAGTTTCTTGTTAGATATTTAATTTCTTCTCCTTTACAAGATATCAAGAGTTTTTTCACCAATTCTACCTTTTGATTTATTACACCTGTTCCTTTTAATTTTGATATTGATAATAATGTTTTATACACGTCCTGTATAACTAATGGTTTTGGTTCAAGCAATAATGTTTGGATCGAGCCTTTTGCTGCATAAGCCACATCACCCCAATCGCCATATCGATCATAAAGCGATTTTAAAGATTTTGGAGTATTTCCTGAAATAGAACATATAGACTTTGATAAAATTTGGGATCCAATTCCAATCCCAAGCTCCAGCCCTTCAAATGGTGCTGCAATGGTATTTGAACACAATAAAACAGCCGGTAAAACGCTTCCAGGATCATGATAAATTATAACACGTAACATATTTGTCAGCAGATCAACTATTTTAAGTCTACTTTTTGCTTGATCAATAAGAAAAAATGAGTCGGATAAAAATTTATATAAAATGTTATTTTTATAACGATCAAATAACTTTCTTCTATCATATAAAGCTGGATCAAAATCAAAAACATCCATATCTATAGAAATCGGGTTTATTCGAACATCAGGTTCAATTTCTAATACTTCCTGACCATCATTATTGTTATTGATTTCTTTATGAGAAAGAAAAAACTTTGTTTGTAAAGCTGCTGCAGAAGCAGTAGTAGTATCTTCAGTATTTTCAACAATTTCAACAATTGTATCACTTGTTTCTGTAACTTTTTTCTTTGCCACTACTAATTCTTTTTTTGCCACTGGCGCTTCTTTTCGTTTATTGAAAAAGTGCTCTATTGAAGATTGATTTGTGTCATTATCATTCTTTTTCTTTTTCTTAAAAGTAGGATTACGCGTTGGAACTATTAACTTTCTTTTCATTTTAAAGATTTTTTACAAATTTACGTATTTGAGCTAAATAATATACTAATACAGTTAGGAATTTTACCAAATTTGGAAGCCCATTTATCGATATGAAATCAATAATAAGGTACGTGTCAAGAATTTAATTTTTTTTTAAAAAAAATTTTTTTTCTGACCTTTAGTGAATAAAAGCACTGTTACCACCCATTGACACTTTACACAGTGAGTCTCGGTATAATGGTATTTAACTAGTACAAATTTAGAAACCATCTGCAAAAAAAATTGAATTTGATTGGATATTTTGCAGATAGTTTCTAAATTTGTACTAGCTAAATATCCGTACCTTGCTTATTTGCTATATTTATTCAATTCGAGTCCATGTGAAACTAAAAGTGATCAAACTTGAAGACGAGCATCAGGAAGCAAAAGTAGCTGGGATCAGCAATCTGAAAAATCTAAAACAGTTATTGATCCCAATTATACATGCAGCCCAATGTACCATACACAAAGTTTAGATACTTAAAATGCACTTAAAATATACACCATATACTTAAAATATACTGATGGAAGTGAACAAGAACATTTTAGGTGAATTTTAAGTATGTTTTAAGTATATGAAATTATACTCAAAACACACTTAAAATATACTTAAACATACTTTTGATGGTAAACTAGCATACTTGAAATACACTTAAAATACACTTAAAATACACTTAAAAGGTTACTTAAAACATACTTAATTTTGTTCATTATTAAAAAAGGTATGTTTTAAGCACATTTTAAGCACCTTCAAGTAGATTTTAAGCATATAAACTTTTTCTAGGGTATTTTGACATTGTCATAAAGGTGTTATACATGTTTTTAATAGTGAGTGCTGTAATTAATTTCCACTTTCTACCATCAAAATTGGAATAATTTTGACAATTGAAACCACCAAACCAATTTGGATTGCATGTATAACTATATCTTAAAAACCTAAATCTTGATATTTTTCCAACAAATTATCTAGCTGATTTTCATACTCTTCATAGAATATTTTCATATAAATAGGCCTTGGTCCTTTCCAATTATTCATTAAATCTTCAAGATTACTATCTGAAACAGTTACCATATTCTCTGGAATATAAGCATCACTCAAATATAAGCACCAGTATAATGAAAAAACAAAAAAATAGAAAAATAAATATAAGCACCACATATATTTTAAATTATTTTTTATTTGATTTTATTTTTATATTAAATAAAAAATAAGAATTTTTTATTTTGACTATTCTTTTCCAGAATCACCAGACTCCTCCTCATCTAATTCATCTAATTCATCAGCTGAATAATCATTTCTATTTAATATTTCACATTCATCTTCCTCATTTTCATTTTCACCCCCATATAAATGTAACACAAGTTATCTGAAATAAAATGTCTTGAATATAAGCACCACCCACAGTTTTGTTGTGGTGCTTATATTCCAGAGAATACAGTATCTTGTCTTCAAAAATTATCTGTTAACACTTAATTGGTCATTTATGACTGATAATTTTTTTCTAATATATAAAACTTTTTCTAAGCATATCACTTCCTAATATGAAAATGATCTCTGAGATATAGCCGATTTGCCAGTAAAAAAAAATTTGAATGTTGACCTTGTGATTTTTGTATAACATTCTTTAAAAGTTGGTCAATTGACTATTTTTGTTTTGCTGATCATCAAATTGACAAAATCAATCATTGATCTTTTTTATATTGTGAAATAGGCTATCTCAATTGAAGTTAGAATAGAAAATAGTCTCAAGACTGTGCACAAAAACCATTTTATGAAACATACATCTTTTTTTTACATTGATATATATTTTCAACTTTTCTTTACATTCTGGCAAAACCTGATCAAGTTGATCAAGTGGATTTCAATAGGTTGTATTAGAAATGAAAGATTAAATTTTTCATGATCTATTTAGACCTGTCAACTTGGCAACTTTTTTTTTTTACTTGGGGGTTCTCCAGCAAAATATATCTCCAATTCTTTCTGACCAAAATTGAGTTTTTTGCATAATATATATCTATATTATACTTAAGGTTGCTTGCCAAAACTCCTCCAGAAATCAATCAGCAGGGTTTCAGCAGGTTACACAATAATTGCTTATTAGAGTTTTGGCAGAGTTTCACATTTTGAGATTTTGTCATTTCGGCATAGTTTGATAAGATTTAATATAGTTTTGCCATGGTTTCAGCAATTACTAAGGAGGTTTTGCCCACAACCTTAATTATACTGTAATAAAATAATAATTAATTTGTGATATATGACATAATTTGGATTTACTATGACATTATAGCTTTCTAATGAACCCTCTCCCATATTGATAGAAGCTCTAGTAGATAGTAATATATATATATTACTATCTACTTGCATTAGACTGATACCTACGTATGATTAGACTGTTACCTACATATGATTAGACTGTTACCTAATTATTTTTGGGTACCTGTTTTGGTGTCTAGTTGGCTTGATATTTGCTTTCTTTTGATGAGGTTTTTGGCTTTCTTTGGTCCTTTGATTGCTTTCATCACCTGAGGCTGAGGCACGAAGTGCCAATTGTGAGGGCTATGCTCAAACAGAATGCAAAGCATCCTGGTTTGCAAATCTGCGATGATGTAATTATTAATTCACAGATCTTTTATCAACCAGGGGATTTTCATATAAAATCATAGGGGCAAATTTCATAATAAATTTACTAATGTCCAAAATGGCAACTTCGTGACACAGCTTTTTTTATTTCAACATCGTTAACAAAAAATACAATCATAATAATTAAATTCACCTTGAATTAAATTTGTTATTTATTTTATTGTTATTATTTATTATTCTTGAAAAATGACAACCTCACATACATTAGCAAACACCAACCAACAAAACAAAAAATTTGATTTAATTTCCTGTGGTGATGCTCAATTGTTTTAAAGTAGGGGCAGGACTATACAGTATTCCAATTTTACATTGCTAAACCTATAAGATATTTTTAATAATAATAATTAGATCAGACAATAGATAGTAAAAAAAATGTTTTATCTATATTTGATCCAATATGCAAGTATAATTTTATTTTTTATATTTTAATCAATGATTGAAAATATAAACTTCACTTATCTACTGAATTTTTAGCTGGTAATGAACCACTTGAATCGGTCATTGAACTTCCCAAGGGTTGGGCACTGAAAAGCAACCAAAAATATGGACAAAAAGGTGGTGGTAATCGTATGCCTGTGCAAATTGCAAGTTTGTTGGAAGGTTTCTTTTTAGCTGGAGAAGCAGATGGAACAAGAAGATACATTGCTGAAACTATGTTGGAAGAGTTGAACATTATGGCGGAAGAAGAAGGCCAGTTTGATAAAAGCAAAGTTCCAAAGCTCCAAACTATCTGTGGGTGGATAACCAGCTATGCTGCAGTATTTTAAAAAGAAAAATGCAAAAAGAACCTTGGAAGAAGTTGGTATTCCCATTGAAATGAGTAGAATTGATCAACATACTTAATTTCATATATAAAATATAAAGCAGAAACCTCCAAATGGCGACTTTGTACATAACTTTCTTTTTTTCTAACATATAATAAAGATTTTTTTTTTTGATTTCATGTTTTTTCACATTTATCCTATTGTTTTGCATAAAATTTGGTGCAAACACAGTTGATTATTTTCTTCAATTAGTAAATGTGCCCCAAATTTTTATATGTAATTAGCCAATAACATTGGCTGAAATTTAAAAATTATAGAATTTTTTTTTATCTTTTACTACTCAAATCTCTATGTCCAACATATAAAAGTTTTTGAGGAATATTCCAAATTTTAATATAATATTCTATGAGATCTGCTTTATACATACACAAAAACAATAAGGTTTGTATGACAAAAATATTTTACTTTATTATTTGTTAGACATTATCAATCTGGTTCATTCATGGATCATCAATTAATATAAATTTGCATGTAACATGTCACTTTGAGAGCCTTGCAGATCCTTCAACTCCTCCAAAAATGGGAGGAATTAAGCCTTAAAGTTCAACAAATTTACTATGTTAATCCAATAAAAGTTGTAGGGACTAGGTGTCCTGCACCATATTAATTTTTCGATTTTTTTTATTGAAATAAATTAAATGATATCCCCTAAAAATATTCCCTTTTTGAAAAAGGGAATAGATGTGTGTGTCACTCAAATTAGAAAAATCAATTTTGTGCAATCGATTAACATACCTATTCTGTTGGACATCAAAATTATTTAATAAATAAATTTAAAAGTTTAATATACTTTAATGCTTTTATATATTTTCGAATGTTCCAAACATTTTTACTTAGAGTGTCAATACAGGTTTTCTAGCTAGTTTGAGTATTTTTATTGCAAAGTTTAAAAAACATCAAAGAAAATTTGAATGATCTACATAGATTTTAAAGAAATAACTAAATGCAAAATATTAAAGTATTGTACATCAGGAAACTTTTCCCGCTGTAATATTACATCCATAAGTTTTAATATGAAATGTTGTAATATTTCACATAAAAAGGATGTATATTTACACTGAATGTAATAATTGTGTAATTTTTGTGCAATTTTTGCATAATATTACACTATTTATGTAAGTTTATGGCAGGCCCCATAATATTACATAAATTTACATCAGAAAAAATTTCCTGATGTAATGAGAAATATTTTGTTTGATAAATATCAAATATTTAGCTATAAATTAACAACAGGTATTATGAGACAAAATATGAAGATCGAGATGTTAAGTCTTATGTGTTGTGAGTCGGACAATGTATAGGACAATTTACGCATTGTTTTTTTCTTGGTGGTTCCTTTTATATAATAAATAAAGCAAGGTTAACATTTTACCTTTAAAAAAAAAGTGTTTGTTTATACTATATACAACACAGCATACCTCTTCATCAAATGAGAGTGATGGTGGTGATGGTGGCGCTGGCGGCGATGGTGGTGATAGCGAAATCTATAAATATAAGTAAATAGTTAAATACTGCAATCATTACCAACATTCAATATTTTAATTTATACTTACAGAATTATTTTTATGTCTTCTTGATGGTGTTCCATAATTATAATTTACACGTTTTGTGTTTTGAAGATTATATTTTCTTCGACTGTGATTAAGGATACTGGCTGCAACTTTTGATGATGGTTGCTACCATCTTTGCATCATATAAAAATGATTGCAACCGCTGGTTGCAACCACCTTTACAACCATTTTGTTTCCTTTTTTGGATTGCGACATGGAACACTAACTGTGATCTTGTGTATAAGCAGAAAACCCCATGTCAGCAGAAGAATCATTGTCATTGTGATCTTGTGTAGAAGATCCTGAACCAGCAGAAACACCATGTATATCAACAGATATATTATTATTATTATGCTCATTGTCATCATTGTTATTATGTTCGTGATCACTGTGATCTTGTGTAGAAGATCCTGAACCAGCAGAAACACCAAGCATGTCAATATGTCTATTATTGTCATCATTGTCATTATGTTCATGATCACTGTGATCTTGAGTAGAAGATCCATCTGAACTGGCAGAAAAACCATGCGTGTCGGTAGAAGAATCTAAATTTTTTCTTGAGGAATTTGCTTTGATGTCTTCATAACCATCTTCATCATTGTTGTGATCATGATGATCTGATTCTTCTGGATATTTGCATGCTGGACAATCTTCTTCAACACATCTTCTGTGGAATATATGTTTGCATACTAAAATTATTATCGGTTCTGATAATTGTGGAGATATTTCTCCTTGACACACTTGGCAAACGTTTGGATTTTGATATCCTTCTGGAATTTGCTCTGGATGTTTGGTTGTAATCTTATATGCAAAAGATTTTAATTGAATTTTGGCACCCTTGACTTGTAAGAAGTGAGGGCTAGAAAATTAAAGAATGGTTAGAAATTGAGCAAAAAGAAAATCATAACAGCATATATTTGACGCCTAGAAACTGCCACTGCCTTAAAAAAAAAAAAAGAAACAAATTAACATTACTCTTTTACAATTAAGGCATCAATTTCCCTAATCCTCTTTATCGAATTTTTTTGATACATTTTTCTAGGAAAAAAAAAGTATTTTTGTTATACACACATCACATCTAATTACATTTTTCTAGGTATTTTTGTTACACACACATCACATTTAATTACATATATATTAATATATATAATATATAGATAGATCAAAGATAATAAGTCTATATTAATATGTCACGTTGCATTCTCTTTATTATTATCACATGATAAAAGATCTGCAACACAAAATTTCTTTCAATTCGTTCATTTTCTTTAGCTTCAATTGAAGAATTACAAAATGAGATAACAAAATTAAAAAAAGAATAGAAACTCTTACAATGTATTCAATAAATGAAATGACAGGTAAAAGGTTTAGAATATAAATATATTGATGATATACAGTTCACTCTCTTTATGATGATAATAATAATAACAGATCATTTGATGA